ACACACACACACACACACACACACACACACACACACACACACACACCATGGACTACTACTCAGCCATGAAAAAGAATGAAACGATGTCTTTTGCAGCAACCTGGATAGAACTGGAGACCATTATACTAAGTATCTCAGGAACAGAAAAATAAATGCTGCATGTTCTCACTTAAAAGTACGAGCTAAAATATGGTTATACAAGGGCATACAGAGTGGCATAATGGACACTGGAGACTTATAAGGGAGGATGGTGAGGAGTGAGGGATGTGAAAGTGCCTATTGGATACAATGTACACTACTCACATGATGGGTACACCAATAACCCTGACTCCACCACCAGACCATACATACATGTAACAGAATTCAACTTGTACCCCTTACATCTATTGAAATAAAAAAAAAAAATTCTAACTGTTAAAATAAATAAATGTCATGGCCATAAGAATAATGGCTTTTAAAATATTAATGAAAAAATGTGTTTAAATGAATGTGAGTATAGTTATTAGATAACATAATAGTTCTGATATATTTTATTTTATATCACTTTGTATATTAACAAGTGGTTTCTAGAGTATAGAATGTTTTTTTGTTTCTATACGTTCTATTTTCATTTACATCATATTTGTCAGCTTATTTCATACGAATCCATAAGCAGTTATGCTATGACAAGCAAATACCTAGTGATAATGAACAAAGCCAATGGGATAACACTCTCTGTTAGGACCTTAGATATCACGTTAGGAATTAGTATAAAAATCCCAAAGAAGAAACAAGATAGAATGAAGCAAGGACTTTAATAGTAATATAAACAATTAGTAGCCCCTAGAACCAAGCACGTTACCTAACGTATAATAGATGATCAATACATTTCTCTTCAATGAATGAAAAATGGCATATTAGGCATATTAGGTTTTGAGGCCCTCTGTCAAGTTGATATGATACAGCAAAACAGTCACAGAAAAAAAGAAATGGAAACCACACAAGTATTTTTTTTAAAAAAAGAACTAACCTAGGAAGGCTGTCACGCGGCTTGTGCTCTTCGCAGTGTTCATTTCAAGGACGAAGTCAGCATGTGTGTTATAGCCGAGTAGTTTGGCTACTTTGGCTCGAAGTGGGAGTAGCTGTTGCAGAATGATGGTGTTTTCCTAGTAATAAATGCCACCAACAAAAACAAAGTTTAATTATTAATTTGACCTAAAGTACTAAAAAGAAGAGTTATTATATGTATTTTTAGGTACATAAAATTGTCAAATATTTTTAGACCATCTTAACTTCTGTTTTCATTTCAGTGTTAGACTCTTTTTGATTCATGAACCAATATTATTTACAAAACAGACAAAAACACATACTGGGGAAAGGC